TCCCAAGGGCTTGCGGCCGAGGCTGCGCTGCGCAGGGGGAGCAGTGTTGAGGCTATTAGGGTTACTGGTGGGATTGAGAGGTAGTGGCGGCATGTGGCTGAGCCGGTTGTTAGTCCTTTGGTCAGGCCCGATCTGTTCTCTGAGATTTCGGAGACCGACTCCTGGGCCCTGAGACATGGGAAGGAAAGGCCTGGGACCCATGCCATACTCCTGCTGCGGGTGCTCCCCAAACGGCAGCGGCACCATTTTCTGCTGAGAGGAGAGCATCTCCGAGACGCCGGGGCGCAGTTTCATCATCTCTTCCGGCCCAACTCCTGCCTCCCTCAGCTTCTGAGGGACCAGGGGTGGGTTGGAGCCCATGCTGACATTCATGCCCATGTCCCCCTTCATGCTGCCAGGGCCCATCCCAAACTCCAGCTCTCTGCTAGAGGCCATTTGTGGGGGTATTCCTTTGGGGAAGTCCCCCCTGGAGGGGCTCATTGGCCCTTCCACCGGCATGCGAGGGAAGATGGGGTTGTTCCCAGGCTCCATGTGTCTCTGGGAGGGCATCATTCTATTTATCTCCATGCCGGGCCTGATGCCTTCCATGTTCAGGCCAGGAGGGAGGCCCATCTGTTTCTCAGCCAGCTGCTGCTGATAGAGCTCTTCGGGCAGGCCCTGCGGATTGGGGAACCGCTCCCCTCGGCCAGGGCCGCTGAAGACACCCTGGCCAGGAGGGAAGTTTCGGCCATCTGGGATTTTTGGCATATCGTCTGGCCAACTAACTCCTGAAAGTCCAGGCCGGGAGGCAGGATTTGGGACACTGGGGCCCTCCATGTCAGGGTTCATCATTCCTGCAAAACCAGGCAGGCGCATCTGGCTCCCAGGCATGTTGGGATGAGGGGCCATGCCCCTGGGGGGCAGAGAGTGCGACATGTTCATGCCTTCAGGGAAGGGCTCTGGACCCCCGGGTCCCCAGCCCTCCCCAGGGGTCATCTGGTAGGGAGGGGGAGGGCCTCGGACGACCCCACGAGGCCCATGCTGATGGACCATCATGTCCTGCAGGGAACACTGCTGCACAACCACCTGCTCTTGCTTTCTTCTCTTCTCCTCGTAAAACTCCTGCTGCAGCTTGAGCCAGGCCACCTGCTCGGGAGTCATGTGGTCCAGGTGGTCTGGGCCTATGGGTCCTGACTGGGAGTTCATTGGTGGTGGCCCCATTTCATCTGGGGAAAAGGGCATGTCCCTGTGTCCTTGAGGGCCAAACGGAGCCCCTCCATCTGTCCGAGACCCTGACCCTTTGCCTAAACTTTGGGACTGAGCCATCATGGCCTGAATTGGCCCTTCAGGTTTCTTTTGGGGACCATCCAGCACCCCAGCATTTGGGGGTGGCCCCCCACTTTGCCCTCCCGCAAACTCCTTCTCATCAGGGAAGAGCATGCGCTGTATGTCTCTCAGGGTCTGCAACGAGCGCTCTCGATGCTCCAGCTGCTCCTGTGACAGTCCATCTGGATTCTCACCCAAACTGGATGGGTCCCCACCAGACACCTGCTGGGGAGGACCTTTGGGTTCTGCAGCAGAGCTATTGCTACCTTGGGAAACTGGGCTAACTGCTCGATTATTGGGGGTCGAACTCTGCCCAAATCCTTCTGTCTGCAACGGGGTAGAGTTGGCAGGGCTGCCCACAGACATCCCTTTGCTTTCCACACTGGGACTGTCCTGATCTATAGGGCAAGGGGGGCCAGTGGATTTGGATACCGGCGCTGACACGGGTGGAGTCGGCTGCATTTTGGCATTCTGGGAAGGGTTCTGGTCCTGGGTGGCGGGGGGCTGTGGCTGCGGCAGGGGCTTGGGTTCAGTCCGAAGTGCAGTGATCTGGGGATTCTGCAAGAGAAAGCCACACATTGTCACTCATTCATCTTACAGCTGTGTCACATAAGCAGAGGTGCAAAAGAAATGTCCTGTCTCAACACCACCAGCCCACACTTTGCAAGGAAGGGTAGCCTTCACGCAGTGATTACAGAGCAGCATCTTGGCCATGCAGAAACATATTTTGCTGCTTTACAGCAGGCACCCCTTAAATATACTACCCAAATATTGCAAGACTCAAGCTCTTCTTTGGATGATCCAAGACATTTATTTGCAGAAGGCTAGGACAACAACTGTCTCTCTCTTCTCCACGCTAAAACTTATTTCAGTGTGTAAATAATTACCCATCTCTCTGAATCACATGCACACAAGCACATTTACCATTTCCCTTCCCACCCACATGCAAGTATTCCCTACCAAGGGTACAGTGTTTCGTTCCGCCTTGCTGTTTGAGATGTTCTGGATATGAAAGGACACGATGGTTTCCACCTGTCCCTTCAGCACAGCTTCTGCAGCCCTGCAAAGACAGACAAATGCACATATCCAGTTGAAGCTAAGAATCAATTTTTCTTATCCGCCCTCCCTCCTATCCTTCAGCTGGCAGAAGGGAGAGAGACTTAACCACACATATTTCACTCTAGATGAGTACCAAAGAAAAATGCTTACATCTACAAACTCATCAGCATTCAGGGTTCATGTCTCAGTTTAAGCCATCCTGGCTTATACTCACTGCATGGATTACAAAACGGTATCTCCCAGCATTTGCCAAAAAAACCCCAAAACCCAAACACACCTCAGAGGAATAAATAATCACTTCTCAGAGGGCAAGAGGTAGCAACATTCTCCACTCCAGCCCCTTCAGCATCCCCAAAACAAGTAATGACTTTTTGCTACAAGAACGCACTTGACAGAGAAAGTGCACTTGAGAATCTCTTAAAAAGGGAGCACAAATATAAGCCCCGCTCCCTGAAGACATTCAGGCATCTGCCTACTTACTTGTTGGCCATCTCAGTAGAAAAAACGTAAACCACTTTGGATGGAGTCTTCTGCCCACTTGCTGGCTCCAAAGCAGCAGTCAGGCCATGGGAAGGTGTGGAAGACCTTGGGGCTGAAGCATTTGAAGGAGTCATGGAGTGTGGTGTGTGCTGAGAATCCTGGGACTTCACATGATCAGCAGAATTGCAGTCTGGAAGGGGAGAATAAGGAAAAAAGGGAAATCACTACCTCGGGAGCTCTTTGGAAACCATTTCTGGAAGCCGACCAGAGCTTTTCCTCCTCTGAAATTTCCCACTTCTCCCTCAAGCACTACTAAAGGCAATTCTTCTATTACACCATGCATCTTCCCTCTAATGCCATGCTGCCCTTCAGGCACCACTGGGAGAAAGCTCCTCTTGTGAGGCAAGTGGCAGTTCCCAGAGCTGATCCCTTTGAATTCTCCAATGGCCACACAGAATAGCAGAACTACACACTAAAATGAACAAATATAAATACGTCTGTGCCCAAGGAGAACACACTGCAAAACTTTACTTTTTTTTTCCCTTCAGCCACCTTAGCCAGGTGACCTAGAAAATGGACAACAAAGGAAAGATGGACAACTGCACATATAGTCTGTTTTTGCACTGCCTCATGGCAACGTTGGAGCCAGGAACAGAACAGAGAAATCCCAACTCTCTGGCTTGTGTTACCAGTCAGGGTGCTACGGGTTATGTACCTATGTTGACAAAACAGGCTTGCATATTGTTCAAAACCCCAGTTACAACAGAGCAGTTCCTGAAAGGCCAAAGGCCAGAAGGAAAGCAACAGGTTGCATTTGTACTTTCAAATTCTCTGGGGGAGTTTCAGAGTTACAAAGGAACTTTCCCACCAAAGTCAGGTCTGCACTTTAACTGAGCGTGAACAGGACATTTATCGATGCCAGCTAGGACAACCTCTCCTCTTTGCCTGCTCTCAAGACCTTTAGACTTCATTGGCTGGAACTTACAGAACACCAGACAAATAAATGTTTTGCTAATACTTGCATAGCAATTCTCCATCTCAGAGGACTCAGACTAATTGTCTGCACTTGCGCACGAATCCTAGCAAACATACCTTTGATTTCAGGGTCATCATTAGGAGTCCCAGCTTCCCTCTGTTCAAAGGAGTCTGCCGAAATGCTCCTCTCTCTCTTCCCCTTCCCCTTGGCACCGTTTCCAGCCCCATTCTTCAGCCCCATGCTCCCACCTGGGCCAGGGAGCACTTTGGGGGGGTGACCTCCACTTTTGGGGTCACAGGGAGAGGGCTGGGATTGGCTGGTGGAGCCCCCTTGTTTGCCCTGGTTGGAAAACTTGGAATCCAGCTGGGGGTTGCCAGACGGGGACATCACTGTAGGGGGACGGACCATCACCTCCTGCTTTGATTTGGGGCTACTGGGGACAGAGCAAACAAAAAGGAAAAAAAAAAAAAGTAACAAATCACACCATGGATTCATTCAACCCTGTAGGAACAGATCAGAGAGAAGCAGAAACAACCACTGCCACCTTTGCAAGCTAAGACAATTGCTGACAAATAAAAAATGCCTGCAAGCTTAGAGTCATGCAGGTGCTTTTTTGAACATGCCCTGAAAGGGTTATTATCCAAGATGGGATCTCATTGCTCAAGAAGGCACTAGGGCAAGCTACAGACCTGCCAGATCCCAGGAACCGCTGTCACATGAGGACCTACCTCTGGGGCTTCTGTCAATAAAGACAACGGTTTCTATGTGCACAGAGAAGTGCCTCACACCAAAACCAGCTCAGAGTAAACAAACAAGGCACAATAAAGTTCACCTCACCACTTTCCTGGACCCCAACTATACGCTGCAGCTCTGATCAGAGTAGACCCCCCCACCCCCTCCCTTGCACCTCCCTATCCAGTTCTACAGGGAGCACAAGGAAAACCCAGCATTACTGCAGCATTCATCATACATTGGGGCAAGCTGCCAGGAAAACACAAACCTCTGACCGTGAAAACAATTAAACCAGCTACAACCTGCCTCTGAATAAGGAAAGAGAAGGATACCATCTCCCTGCACACTCCTGCAAAATGAGGCAGATGAAGCTTCTTTAATTTGCCAAAGGAAATTCAGGGTCTTTCCTTCCATCTTCCATTCAGCAAACTGCATCCTGAAAATATTTTGTTCTGCTGGGTTTTACACACGTATTAGCTACCCCTTCCTCCTCACCCTCCAGTTACTCCATTGCTATCGGATCTTCTGCATTGTGTTTTCCCATCATCACTGCCACTTCCAACAGGCAGCACTTGCTAGCATCCTCACTGTGGGACTCGCACAAGCCGCTTCCTCCTTTGGACAGACATCTGACTCAGAGGCATTCTCTCTGAATTACTCTTAAGCTCCAGATGACCTCTAGGAGTAAATAATCAAACTTGAGAATGCTGTCAATCAGGCCATTGTTAAGTCCCTGGACAGTGCTTCGCTTCCATATTTTTCGCCTTCCAAATTAGTGGAGGAGAGATGCTGATCTGCTGCACTGGCAGGTGAATGATGCAGAGGATCTCAGCTGATCAGTTCTCAAGGCTGTTCAGGCCAACAATACAGAGGAGGCATTTTGTGTGAAAGTACAGACAGAGAGACCTTCTGCTGCCCAACTACCCCTCAGGGAAACAGATCATTAGAAGAGGGGGAAGGAAAAAAAACAGACAGAAACAGCATGTTTACTCTCCTACAGACTATTCAGACACCTGATGGGAGGGAGGAGGGCACGAGGAATGTAGAATCCACACCTCATGGGTTTACAGCTTTCAGCTCATCCTGAGCCTAGCAAACATGGAGGCTCGTCAGCACTGTGCAGCCAGTGCTCAGGTACTCAGCGGGTCCAACGGGAGCACAAAGGAGGACCAATGAGTCACATGCACCAGTCCTTGGCTAATCCTGCAGCAAAGCAGGGATAGCAGCATGCACCAATCCAGAGCAGCTGACTGCAGGCTCTTTTACTTACCTCTGTGTGTTGCCTGACGGGGAGTTCCTCACTTTGGGGTTACTGGAATGCATTGACAGAAGTCCTGAGCTCACAGTCTCACACGCACGCAGATGGGCTCTCCTCAAGTTCCTCTGGGGAGTGTGCCGCCAGAGGCAGCGTCGAAGCACTTTCTGCCACCCACTTCTCTCAATGCTGGCTGTCTGCTTGCCTTTTTTCTCTTTGCTCCTCTCTGATTTTGCACTGGGCGCTTCCCTCCTGCAGCTCCAGCATTCTCTAGACGCGTGCCTCCTGCTGCCCAGGGGAAGTCTCGCATCTCCAGGGCACACTGTTAAAACCACCCCACAAGAAGAGAACATAAAACCAGTAAAGAACTTTCCAAGCAGATGTATCTGGTGTGAAGCAGTAAATGGCAATTCTTCCCCCATTACTGAGAAGACACAGGAGAAGAGTTTTCAGATGGCTCAGTACAGCTGTGTATTTCAAACCAGAGGCAGCCCTGGCTGGCCATTCAGTTTACAGGCAACGAGGCCATCTTCCCTTCATCCAAAGCAAATCACTCTGGAGTCAACAAAACAGGGAAGCACCTCGTGTCGGGACACTTTGATTCTGCATCTGTGCTCAGCTTGAAGACACCTCACAGCAAGTCAGTAGGAAGCCAAAATTACAAACCCCAACATGACTTAGCTATCCAGAATTCCCCTGTGAATGGCCGTAATCTGATATTTCTTGAGAACATAAACTCTGCTCAAATCTTTTCTGTCTCCTTGGTCCAATATAACTAGACATATGTTCAATGATGTGTGCTAAGGGTTGCACAAAGGGAGGAAAATAAAATAAAATTCCTTCCTGACCACCTGTAAGCAACCAGCTATGCTGTGATTACTCTGAAAATACCAGAGATTAGTCACTCAAAACATCTATTAGAAAGGCCAAAAGATCACTACAGAACTCCCCTTCTAAATTTGCTCAGCAACACTATACAGACTACTGAGACTTTAAAAAAGAAAAAAGAAAAAAAAAAGAAAAACCAAAAGTAAGCACTTTTTCAGCTTCTTTCTAAGAAACAATATGCATGACGCAGGCAATAAGGCACATAAAACTGTTTCTGGAGGAGGAAACTATCGAACATTACTGTTTATGTCCTTTGGGCTAAATTATTTTGGAACAAATTTCTGTCTTGTTTATGTTTCAACAAAATCTCTCCTGTTCATCTCACCTACTCAGATGCAAATCCACTTAATTTAGAATCTAACCAAGATTTATTGTTAATGTATTAAGCATTGCTAGTTAAATATTATTCAAATGTAAATATTCCCAGTATTCCTTCTCAGCACCAAAGAAGCAGTTTCTTCCTGCGTATATCAAATGAAACAAAATAAATCTCACCAGACTGGGAGTGTCTTGAATTTTATGAAGAAACTACTGTTCAAATTGCATTTAGAAAACAAAAATTGGTTTGCTTACATGCTGACACCAGAGGATTAAAAAACACGGGCACTATATGACCACCTCTGGCCAAGGAGTTATCAGTAACTTGTAGTATTGAGCACCATGGTTTTCTAGTTCCCCAAATTTATCTTGTTTTGCGTGCGTGAGGTTCTGCCATCACATTTTTTAGTGACTTTGCCCTGCTGTACTTTAACATGATAGTGCTCCACACTGCAGTTGTTCCATGAAGCTCTGCATCATGTCCAAAAATTCTCCTCTCTACCACATGCCTCCTTCATGACCCAGAGAAATCATCCTGCTCCCTATTCTCACCTCCACCGTGCTGCACAAACCCATTAATGGGGGGGAACGTTTCTGCAATAAAGGTCCCGTTTTTAATGCCTCCTATTAGGCACAATCAGATGAACTCCAGTCTGAGCCACACACTCCATAAGATCCACATGCCTCTCTGGGGCTATCAGCTGATTATCCCACTGATTTTGAGAACAATGTTGGAGTTAATCTATTACTATTGTTACTACTATCATGCTGTAATTGGAGCTGGTGCTATACAGATACATTAACGACAAGAGAGAACATCTGCACAAGTATCTAAATCGTACCATCTTTGCATGCAAATTTGGCTCCTATGTCTGTTTTGACAACAAAACCGTAACATTACCAACAGCACCGAACTCCACTTTTGAAAAGAAATTTATGCATCTGTAAAAGTCTGTGGAACTCAGTGATACTTCAGGATCCTCACTTAAAGTGAAGGTGTGACTGAAGACACGGTGAATTTCAGGTAAAAAAGAAAAAAGGAACAATAGCATTAAAGTGAGCAGAGCTCAATGCTAACAGCAGGATGCAGATGCCTGTGTGATGAACTTAAGTATTCCAGTTGTTTCATCCTCTGCTTTTCCACTTCTGATATTTATGCATTACCATGTTACCTTTTATTATAAGATGAGAATTTTCTCAGACTCCCAGTCTTGCACAGTGCAATGAGAAAACATGAAGAACAGAATCAGGATCACACAGGCTGCACAATATTTCTGACATCAAACTTCCAAGTACTTCTCAGGGGGGGGAAAAAAAACACCTCCAATTTTTTAACCCTACTTTTTTATTATCCTATATACATGTATCTTCCACCTATTAGAATTGATACGCTCTGCAAGGGAACTGTATTTTCCAATCTCAGTTTAAATTTCTTCTTACCAGAGAGAGAGCTCTAAAGGATACATCAATATATTCATTGGTGGAACAACGGCAACTCAACTTCCTCCGCTTCTCATTTCTGCACACTGGGAATGTACCATCTTTTATAATGTGAAATGGAATGCCTCATGATTTTTCTAAATGCACTTCTAACGTATGTATGTCTGGGAATTTAAGGTTCAATAATGGAAAAGCTCTAGAGATATGTATTTTTGCAGCTGGAGTCTGCCTGCCATAGCAAAGCCTTTATCACTGCTCTAAAATTAGCGTTAGGGTCACTGACAGTGAATGGTCAAGCCATTTTTCAAGACATTTTGGCAAGCTACATCCAAGGCTGTATTTTCAGGATTGCTTTAAGGTATGCCAGGCAATGCCTGCAGGCAAAAAGGATGGTTCAACTGTCTACTCATTCTCACCACCTCTCTCCTGACCAGATCGAGGAAAGATCTGAATGGGAACTAACCCAAGGGAAACAGCAGAAAACTCTATTCAGCTGGATCAGTCCCCTGATCTGGTTGATCATGTAACCACATCAGTGCCACTGCAAGCTCAAAGGAGGAGGTGAGAACAGGTGAAAAGTAGCCTCACCCCACTTGATGGCAGCTTACAATTTCGATGGCTTAAAAGGACTTCAAACCTCAATTGCAGAGACAAAAGAGATGGACCCACATTGATAGATGTGGAGATACAATAGGTCCTTGCCTTTCCAACAAGTAGCTTACCAAGACCCCTGGTGTCACGACACGGCAGTACTCATTGTGGAGGCCATGAGTTGCGAACCACTCGTCTCACAAGAAAAGATCACCTGGAAAAAGAAGAGAGAGGAAGAGTTTCACCAACAAGAACGCACAGCCAAGCTGTGCATCCCTCCCATGCATCCAGCCACAGAAGCAGAGGAATCAAAACTTGCTCTGAACCACTGACAAGGGGAAGCCTCTGCTCAGACTGGCAAGATTTGTCAGCACCGAAAAAGCCACCATCAGACTGGAAGAGTCTGAAGATGCATGCTGCACATGGAGGGGAGATAGGTCAGACCTGCTTTAGCACTTCCACATTTGAGCTAGCAGGATTCCCATGAGCTCATCTGTGGTTAGAGAAGCTGGCACAAAGCTCGGACATGTAACCTCCCTTTCTCTGCACCCATCTCTCTTCAAAGGCTCACCTTCCCCTCACTATGAGCCCAGCAACTTCTGCCAAACCCCTGTGCTTCGTATATACAACCTCCTCCACAGCCAGACAATGTATAAATAAAAACATCCAAGCATCAGGTAAAGCCAGGCAATCACTCAGTCACATCTAGGGGAAAACCAGGCAGATTTTAGAAGGGAGAAGCACTATCTACTGTTCTGGCAGCTCCCACTTCACATCATTGTGCTACACTACAGGGAGAAGGGAATCCAACTGCACACCTTCCCAAGTAAGACATACTGCAAGTTTGCTCAAGATAGAAGGATTAGCCCCACCTTGCGCTACGGTTATTTCCTATGAGGCCAAAAGAGTTCATGGCCCAAGAACACATCAGCCATACTTTCAGTAATGGAGACAACCCTGCATCAATTAATGTTCACTCACATGTTAAAGCAAGTTTAAGTGCCTGAAAGTTCCGTAATACGAGGAAATGTGGACTCTGAGGCATGGCTCAATGGTAAATTTGAGGTCAGTAAAGAAAGAGAGAGCAGCTACCTGCCAGCTTCTCCCTCATCCACTGTGAAAACTGGAGAAGCTGCAAGAACAGTATGAATCCAGACAACACTCACACTGTCGGGGCCAGCATGGTCTCTCAAAGCACTCTCAGCTATTTACACAGCATGGAGAGCCTTGCAGTTAGAGTACGACTGCAAACTGAAAGCACTACCGGAGGTTTTCTGCGTAATCCCAATGTATTCTGCTGACCAGATCTCCCAACAGGAACACAGGAGCTGTTGCGAGGCTCAATTAGTTACGCATTGTGAAACCCTGTGCATATTCTCTTCCCTCCAACATTCTCCAACTATTACCTACTGCAGCTTCACCTTAATAATGTAGCAATGCACTGCCATGTAATCCGCTTCAACAAAACCAAACTATAAAGCTAGTTCCAAACAATGCAGCTACATTCTCCACCCAGTCCAGCCAAATCAAACAATGAAATCATCAAGGTGATAGACCATCCTTATCTAGCCAAGTCACACCTGCAGACAGAAGCTGAAACAAACACCTATCGCAACAAGCTGCTTCATCCAGTAAAACCTACCACAGCAGCACAATCATCCCTGAATCCAATTACCCAGCTGTATCTTCTCTCCCCTTTCCCCCACCCCACCCAATGAAACAATACAGGCTAAGCCATACCAGTGCCAATACTGACACACCTCTATCAGAGGAGCAACAAAAATCACCTTTTCCCTTGAAAGGGAAAACATGTGAACACCAGCACGCATCAGGATGGAGAGAATCTATCACAGCAAACAGTCAGAGCTCTATTGCTTGAAACATTGAAGTTCAACTTGGCAAAGCACCGGAGCAGGGGAGCCTTAGAGACCATAGCTCAGGACTGCAAGAGGGACACAAATGATCAGACACGATCCATCTTTAAGGCTACCCAGCCAAGTTACTGCAATGTAATTCCATCCTCTAGTTTA